CCCCCCCCCCCCCCCCCGAAGCTTTGCTTTCATCAGAGCTCTAAGAGACACAAGTTGTTATACAGAAACAATTTTCTGTACAAACGGGTCATTCAGGAAAGCTCTGGGCATTAAATATGTACTCCTTTCTATCATGTTATATTGTATCCAAATCATACAGAGCCAACTCAGCTACTTTATCCAAAGTCCAGAATAAAATTAAAATTATTAGTCATCAGTGTATTTCTAGGTCTCTTTTTAGCTTTAAAAACAAGTATTAGATGCATCAATAATTTATATTGCATATTGACCCACAACTTTTGGCACAACATTTAGACACATATAAATATATTGTGTTTTTTCAGTTGTAGGCCAACCTTGCACATATGTCCACCACCATTATTCTCAAGTTCACTCAGTCAATACTCGCTGAAGTCAATCTTACAGATCAAAACTCTGAATTACCATTGCACTTAGAAAACCCCATAGAAGAATCAAATAACCAGAGAAGACCTAACAGGTTAAATAAACTATAAATACTATAAATACAATTAATGAAAAGATTTTGGATTTGGTATTTCAGACTGCAAGTACAAAGGTAATGACTCCAGAGGGCCTAATTATAGGTCAAGCCCATGTAATAAGTGAAATGTGATTTTCATGGTTCTTTTAGAGAGGAAAAAAGGAGACTTACAGCATACCTAACTGCACATTAAAAACTGCATATGTTTATTCATTCAATGCAATATATCCTCTCTCTTGGTTTTTGTAAAATACTTTAGAAATATTTAGGTTTCATATGATTCCTACATGTGTGGTGACATTAAAAGATTTAATATCTCACATATTGGTTTAAGAGCAATTAAGTATAAAAAAAGCAAACTAATGTATAATTTTACCTAAACAAAACACCCTTATTCAGGCTGCAAAACAATAAGCATAATTTAATATAAGGAATACAATACAATTTTTCCAAGATGACCAGAATTTGAAGGAAAAAATAAAATGATGGCCACACTCTTTTCCTTTCTGGTTGACTGAAATATTAATCTCTTCACTCAAAAAGGTTAACTAAAACTTTTACTATTTAAATATTTAAGGAATCCACTTATATAATTTTTCATTCAGTCTTGAAAATGTTTTCTGTTGCCTATATCTACTTAAATATCATGATATGGCAAAATAATTATTATATTTTCTTGCATAACACACACCTTGTTTTAGAAAGGCAGAACGAAAAAAAAAAGATTTTTCCTGAGTTATCGCAGCATAGAGCAGGAATACAGCCTAATCCTTAGATAGCTTACCTCCATTTCCTGCTTTGGCTATAAAATATGAGAAGACAGACCAGAAGCTAGGAGACAGCAGAACTGCCTTAAGTTAGCTTGATTAATGGACTATCAAGCCTATTACAAAAAAATTGTCATTAACACCTGTGAGTGGACATCAATGGGCCATTAAGTCAATTGACTTTTTCAGCTGCCTGAATAGTAATACCACAGTTGCTGAACTGTGGAGCAGCAATCAAAGCAGGATGCTTGAATCCCAGGCAGAAAATCAGCTCCTCGAAATCATGCACCTCAATTTTGCGGGGGCTGCTTTTGGGGGACAAAAGGTGTGTGTTACATGCAAGAAAATATGTAAATTGTTAATTTTCTTTAAAATCAAATTATCTTGCCTGACTTGGAAGCTCAACAAGCAAAAATGTATTTTGTTTTATCTTGTGACTAAGATGCGACTTAAGCCCTTGCTAGAAAATTTGCAACAAATCGTAAAACTAACACACTGGATTTTGACTAACTGTTCAGAGCAAAAAAGCAATGAGCCCCGTTCTGTTTTTCCCACAAGATCATTGTGGTGTTAATTACAAAAAGGTCCCAATTCACCAAGTCCATGCATGACACTAAGAGCACATGAGCAGCATGCAGGTCCTTAAAGTCAATCAAGGCCAAAATGGGCCCAGTTTAGCTCTCTTTGGAGACAATGAGATACTGACTTCAAACGATTCTGAACAGGACCAGTGATGTTAATGATCTCATCATACGGATTCTATTCCGTTGAGAATAATTATGTGAAATCATCCTGGAAAAACTTCCTAAAAATGCACTACTCATAAAAAGCGTAAAGCAAACTAAACTAGTATTAATATTCTCAAGGCGGTCAAATCATTTCACTGTAAAATAAGTAGAAAAATGACTCTTATGATCACTTTTTACTATATTATAACCTAATAGGATGTAGAATATACAATAAAAGGATATCCAACAGAAAGATCATTTAGAAACTGAAGAGTTCTTGAAATCACAGGCTCACATCTTCCCCAATATTTAAGGTTTGTAACACTAGAATAAGAAAAAAAGAGAGAATTTATAACAAGTGTTTCCCTTTATAAAACGACAGAAAGCACACACACACAAACAGAAGATACCAGGACACGATACTATGAATAAACCTGTCTAATCAAACCTTTATTTTTTTAATGCTTGTGAGACAGGAATTATTACAAAAAATATGGTAATTCAAGAGGTATGAGTTCTTCTCTTATATCTTTTATTGGAACAACTGCATACTTGGGAGAGAAGTTAGACAAGCTCCCAGGCACAAATAAACCTTCCCCAGGCCTCAGGGAGAAGTAGATCCAGGTCAAGCTAAGCAGCAGAAAGAACTCTCACCTCTTGCACATTTCCTGGAATGTAACAGCTACAACACACGTACCCCACCACATAATCCTGCAACTGATTTATTATGAAATATTTTATTGTTACCCATCAGTAATCCCCAGTTAGTGACCTGTGTTAGTTACTTACATAGCCCTATCACAATAACACTAACCACTTCACAGTCTATTCCAATTATCCTCCCAATCTCCATGAAATTAGAAATGCTAATATCCCCACACAGCAACAGGGACAGATATTGTGGGCTAGATTCACAAATATTTCCCACTGAAATTGTACCTTATAAATCATGTAGCAATGAATTCCTGCTTCAGTTTCAGGAATTCCCCATCTAGTGTCATATCAAATGCTATACTGCATTTCAGACACATTAGATCTACCACATTTCCCTACACGTTCTGGGGACTTTTTACAGGGATCAGTCCTCAGTCCCTTTCAGCTTTTACTCCCTGATATCTTTGATAACTGCTACTGTAGAAATATGGCAGAACTAATGTAGTTGTATCTTCCTTTCATTTTTCCATTATACTCATACAACACATATATCAAGGCATAGGGTCCATTGCTTTTCCACTTATCAGTGCCCAACTATCACCCCATTCCATGATACTCAAATCCTTGAAAAAGAGTTCATACAAAAGTCTTCCCCCTGTTTGCTGCCTGTGACTTGGTCATAAAGCTAAGATGATGTCATGTTATAAAAAATCACTGAATTAACATTTTTAAGGGATTTGATAAGGGTGGAACAGGATTATACTTTGGCACCTAGTATGTGGAATAGGATCAGGCCCATAAAATTTCTCCTGGCATCACTTAATATGTTTTCCCATACCTTGCCTTTTAATATGTATAATTTAGCAAGTGGATGTTTACAAAGCTCTTAGATGATGAAAATGACCAGATATCTTATATAAGGTACCATATATTTATTACTGAATTCACCACATCCAAGACAACTTTGAATTTAAGATGATCCCCACCAATAATTAGATTTTACACTTGGAAAATTATAAATTTGTTGTCATTTTACACAGAGAAGGTTGTTTTATATTTGTCCCCCCTGACCTATGGTGGGGAAAGCAGAGGTGGGAATGGGCCAGGCCCTTGCCCCTGGCTCTCCTGCACCTTATCCCCCAGCAGTTGTGCCCATCCCTATCCATACCTGCCCCATGTCATACATCCCCCCTGTCACATACCCTACTGCCACCTGCCCCTCCATGCTTGACCCTGCCCCCCAACTCCCTGCTTCCCCACCTCCTGCTCTCCCTAAGGTGGCCACTGGTCCTGGTTTATATTAGACTGTCCTGTTTTTAAACCTGTTTACTAGGGCTATGCAAAATGCCACTGTTCCATTTTGACTTGGGTTTTGAGGTTTTGACAGAACAGTTCTGAATTTCATTTTGATTCAAAACAGCTGTTCCGTTTTGCTTTGTTGAAACAGTGAAGCTGTTTCTACGCTGTTTTGATGTTTCGCCCATTCACTATAATGAAGCTTGAAACAGCCTCTCTCAACTGGCAGACAGATGGGGGCCCGCAACCCTGGGAGGGCTGTGGAGGCTGCGCTAGTCCTCCCGGGGCTGTGGGCCCCCGATCTGCCTGCCAGATGCGGGAGGGAAGCCAGGTGCTGCTGCCTGGGACCGGGATGCTGGAGAAAGGAACTGAGCCCGGTTGCTCAGTTCCCTTCCCCAGTGCTAGATTGGGCTGGGGAAAGAAACTCAGCCCAGCTAGGCTGACTTCCCATCCCCAGCCCGATTGTAGCACTGGGGATGGGAAGACAGCCTAGCTAGGATGAGTTCCCATCCCCAGCACTAGATTGGGCTGGGGAAAGGAAGTCAGCCCAGCTGGGCTGAGTTCCCATCCCCAGCCCAATCTAAGGGCTGAGGAGGGGAACTGAGAGTTCTGGTTCAGTTCCCTTCCCCTGCACTGTGATCAGATTCCTGCAGCCTGGCCACAGGAGGCGCGGAGAGCCAGGGATGCACTCCCACCTGCTGCTGGGAGCGCAGCCCTGGTTCTCCCGTCTCCCACCACCTGGTTGCTGGCTGCTTCAAAACTTAAAACATTTTGAAACTTTGAAATGTTTTGTTTCGAGGCTGTTTCGAAGCTCTTCGTTTTGATTCAATTTTGCTGTTTCCAGTTTGAAATGAGTCGAAACATTGTTGAATCGAAACAGCTAGTGAAATTTTGCATAGCCCTACTATTTACCTCCTGTCAGTTTCTCAATAAGGAACAGATTGCAAAAATTCCTGTTTTTTCAGCTGATTAGTGGAAATACACGTCAATCATTTGTCCTCACAATTCTATTGGCTATGTCTAGAAGTAGGGAGACACACAACCAGGAGGAGCAGGGTTCCCAGCCAGGAAGGGAGGGAAGGAGGTGGCCTTTCTGTGGTAGCCCTATCCCTTGCTGCTGACTGGCCAAGGCAGTGGCCCCACCCCTCACTGCTGATTGGCTGGGGAAACACCCCTCAGCAAGGGGATGCCCTGTATCCTGGGGATGTGTCAGTGGCCACTCTAGCTCTCCTCCAGCAGCCTGCTCCACACCCTGAACCCTTCCCCCACACCCCTTGCTCTCTTGTGCCTGTCTACCCCACTCCTGTATCTAACTCCTACTCCCTGCCCACCACCTCCTTACCTTCTGCTGCAGCTCTGCTCTGGATCACAACGATCAGCAGCAGTCAGGCCCAGCCCAGTCTGGCCAAGGATTTCATAGATTTCATAGACATTAGGGCTGGAAGGGACCTTGGAAGATCATCGAGTCCAGCCCCCTGCCCCAAGGGCAGGAAGTCAGCAGGGGTCATAGGATCCCAGCAAGATAAACATCCAAATTTCTCTTGAAGGTGTTCAAAGTAGGTGCTTGAACCACCTCTGGAGGCAGTCTATTCCAGACTTTGGGGGCTCGGACTATAAAAAAGTTCTTTCTTATGTCCACCAGCTTGAAATGGTCCTGGAGGAGTTTGTGACCATTTGACTTTGTCATCCCATGGGGCGCTCTGGTGAACAGACATTCCTCCAAATCCTGGTGAGCACCCCAGATAAACTTATAGGTGGCCACCAGATCACCCCTGAGTCTGTGCTCTTCCAGGCTGAGGAGTCCCATGGCTCAGCCTCTCATAATAAGGTCTGTTTTCCTGACCTCTTATGCACATCGCTCTCCTCTGGACTCTCTCAAGGAGAAGCAGTGGAAGTTTCTGGCTGGGTTGGGCAGGGCTGAAGGGACTGGAGCCTGAGCAGGAAGTAAAGGAGGATGGGGGGGAAGAGCAGACACAGGCACATTTCACCTGATCTCCCACCAGTGCTGAATAGAACAGAATAATTACTTGCCAGATTTTAATATTAATACATCCTGGAATCAAGTTAGCTTTTTTTTTTTTTTTTTTTTTTGCAACAGCACTGTCCTGTTGACTCAGATTTAGTTTTTTAGGCACTATAACCCTCCCCTCCATTCTTTACTGAAGTGGTGGCTTTCCTCAAAAGGACACATTTCCTTTATGTCACCTGCAAATTTTAGGTGTACTACATTCTGTCATAAAAGTAATTAATGAAAATATCAAACATAACTAGGCCCAGAACTCCATTCAAGATGCTTTCTCAGTTTAACAGAAAACCATTATTTCCTATGCTGGAGAACAGTTTTGTAAACAATTGTGCACCCACCTTTTGGGGATTACATCCAGACTATATTTCTCTAGTTTGCTTATTGAATGTCATACGGGGCACTGTCAAAAACCTTATGGAAGTGAGGCTGTATTACTTCTATTGCTTCCCCCTCAATCACTAGGCCAGTTATCTAGTCAAAGGAGGAAATTATATTGGTTTGACACAACTTGTTCTTGAGAAATCCATGTTGGCTGTTTTTTATTACCTTGTTATCCTCTAGATACTTATAAATTGATTGTTTAATAATTTGTTTTAGTACTTTTCCAGATATCAAAGTTAGGCTGACTGATCTATTGTTCTTTAACTCACATCTTTTTCCTCTTTATAAAGATAGGTACTATGTCTGCCCTCCTGCAGTACTTTGGGACCTTTCCCAGTCACCGTGAATTCTTTACAAAAAAATCACTAACAGTTTAGATGTAGCTTCAGCTGGTTCTTTAAGTAGTTTAGGATGAAGTTTATTGGGCTGTGTCAACTTGAACACATCTATCTTCTTGAAATACTCAGACCTGGGCTGCCACTATTCTCACCTATGCTCCTATCTTGTTGTTAGAATTAATTTCATTAAGTATCTGAGCACAACTAACTTTTGGGGAGAAAGTTAAAGCATACAAGGCTGAATACTTCAGCCTTCTTTATATCATATTTATTTTCCTTCCCTTATTAAGTAATGAACCAATTCTTTTTATATTTTGTATAAAATACACACAAGAATTCTTCTAATGTCTGAGGGAGAGAACCTATGCCCTGATACAGGAGAAAAATGCTCAATGCTCCAAGACATTAAAGCAAGCTACCATTTGAGTCTAAGTGCTGGTTCCTTTTTTCTTGTCTCTCAAGTGGCTTATTGATTAAAAATGTTAAAAATGAAATAGAGTTAAAGCAACCAATCAGGAAGCTTCAAGTGGCAGAGTGAAGAATTATATTTAATAGCATTACCATTGTCAGGTGAACAGGAAGTTATGTAGTAGTTTTGTCTAAAACAAATATTCAAAATGGCAACAAAA